GCGACAGAGGAGCGCTTCTGTATTGAAATGCTCGACGCGCTTATGAATACCATTGGCATCTTGCTGGATAACGCCCATGAGGCTGAAGGTCGCTTCAGAGTTACTGAACAGGATGACGAAACACTTACTGTCCTTGACCGAGGCTGGCTCATGGCTGCCCCGCTCTTGAAGGAACAGTTGTGCAACGCATCGTTCGACCTCTGCGCTTGGTTTGCGGCCTCCGCCAAGACAGTCGATGACTCATCTGATGAAGACGCAGAGGACTGTGAGCCCTACGACATCGACAATGACGATCCACATACCGATCCGGATATGCCGTCGCTCCCGCTCCACCAGCGACTCCGATGATTTCGGGGATAATACCTGGGAAGCTGGAGTGCCGGATTGGTTCACCGATCACTTCCACGCCCGCGTTGAAATTCGGAACAAGATCGTGCATGATGTAGAGCATATGCATGCCCACACGCTCTTCAGTCTGCAACATCTTGGCGATGCGTTGGGTGACGGTGTTGTCAAGTTCCTTGAGTTCTGTCAGCCATACCCTGGTGACGAACGACTTTCACCAACCAACGCGAAGCGGAACAAGCTTCGCTTTCGGGCCCGGCGCTGCTCTGACGAAGCGTACATCATTCGCGACCAATATTTTGGCGAGGATGTTCTACTACCTGTCGAGTACTTGCGTGCAGAAGACTTCGCTCTTGCTGGCTGGTATGCTCGCCACAAGGCCCGCATCTTAGGCCTCGAGGCTGCTTGATTACGAGGCGCACCAGATCTATCGCATGGTCATCAACGATTTGCTTGGCTCATCAGTCGAGCAGTACCTCGACCGTGTCAGCGAGGCACTACCCCAATTCTGAAACTCCTCGCTATCACTGGTTGAGGACGGAATGCTGCGGTGGTCTACCGGCCCCAAGTCTTACCTGTTCTTTGTTCCGGAGCTTCGACACCATGCACTTATCTCCGAACCCCTGCTGATGAATCCCAAGCTGGACATCGTTAACTGGATGCTGCGACAGCAGGAGAAGGACGACTTACTCCAACATGGCTCCCGGCATGGTTGGAAAACCACCGAACGGCAAGATTACCTCGCTTCGCTGTTCCAAGACCCCCATCTGGAGGGCGGGTCGTGCTTCTATTGCGGTGGGCGTGCAAATACCACCGGGCAGCGTTCGCGGAATAGCCCGCGCTGCCGCGACACCCCGCATACCGGACCAGATCGTCGCCAAGCCGCTCGTCGTAGTCGTTCGGATCAATAACGAGCCTGTCCGTGCTCTTATCGACTCCGGATCCGTTGGAGATCTGATATCGACCACTGTTGTCGATCAGCTTCGCATTCGGAAAACAGAGCTCAAGAACGCCATACCTCTGCAACTCGCCGTCCAGGGTTCCCGGTCCAAGATCAACCACTCTGTGAACGTGAAGTTTGATTACCAGGACATTCACGAGAGACGCACCTTCTTGGTTGCTAATCTTGGCGGGTACGACATGATTTTGGGCACATCATGGATGTTCCAACACAAGGTGAGCATTGGGCTCAACCCATCTCGCGTTTTGGTTGGCAGCGCTGACTCGCTCCCTCTAGATGGAGTAGCGACAGCGAAGATATTCGCTAATGCGACGGATGTGGAGACGGATGCGATTGAAACAGCTCGACATGAACTGCTTGAGTATGCTAAGCCAATATGTAAAATTGCATCTGAAACACCGTTACCTCCACTGCGAGCGATTAACCACACCATACCTTTGATCGACGAGTCGAAGATTCTGCCCTGGCGGCCATCACGTTGTCCTGAGGCGCTTCGGCACTTGTGGAACGAGAAGCGGAAGGCTTACCTGAGTACTGGGCGTTGGAAAATTACCAACTCGGGCAACACTGCTCCCATGCTTCTGATTCCCAAGGCCAAGTCGAACCCACCAAAGCTGAGGGTGGTGGTGGACTTGCGCGCGCGAAACGCGAACACACGCAAGATGACGTCGCCGCTTCCGGATATGGACGGCATCCTGCGTCGTGTCGCTCGATGCCCGTTTCGCTCGCTGATCGACGGCCAAGACGCATACGAGCAGATTCGCGTCGTGCCAGAGCACGTAGAGCGAACGGCTGTAAGCACACCTGACGGGAATATGGTCAGTCTTGTTCTGCAACAGGGAGACTGCAATGCGCCGGCGACTTACCAGTCGCTGATGAACTACCTTTTTTCGGACTTCATCGGTCAGTTCATGGACGTGTATCTGGATGATATTATCATCTATTCGAACACACTACATGAGCATATCGAGCATGTGAAGAAAATCATTGACGTACTGAAAGAGCAAACACTGTACCTTAGCGCGGGCAAACTCCAGCTGCTCAAGCCCGAGTTGAAGGTCCTAGGAAGGGTCGTCGATGATCGGGGCATTCGTATGGACCCCGACAAGGTCGATTCAGTGCTAAACTGGAAAACGCCGACCAACCGGGACTTGCTGCGCGGGTTTCTAGGGTCAGTGGGCTACCTCGCTGACGACCTGGCGGGAATTCGGATACCTATGGGCGTTCTGCACACATTAACCAGCGACTCGGTCGCGTTCCGCTGGGAATTCACTCACCAGCGAGCGTTTGAAGATATCAAACGAATAGCAGGAAATGGCCGCGAGCACCGTCGCAAACCACTGGTTTATGGCCCCGAGGCGCCGCCGATTTGGCTCGTCACTGACGGGTGCAGCTCCGGCGTCGCTGGGGTTGTCTGCCAAGGAGACGACTGGAAAAACGCGAAGGTTGCCGCATTCTTTTCTGCCAAGCTCAATCCGGCCCAGCAGAACTACCCCGTGCACGAAATCGAGATGCTGGCAGGGGTAGAGTCGATGCTGAGGCACCGAGACATCTTGCAGGGGTGCCGTTTTACTTGGGTAACCGACCACAAGGGCCTAACGCACCTGGTGAAGCAAAGGAATCTGTCTGGACGTCAAGCTCGGTGGATAGAGAAGATTTCTGGGTTTGATTTTGAAGTAAAATACGTACCTGGCACCGAAAACGTGCTGGCAGACGCTCTCTCTCGTCTCTACTCCAACGAATCGCCGGGAACCGTCCGCGCACGGTCGGAGTACACATACTTCGATGTCTTGGACAATGACGAGATGAACCTTGAGCTGGGCGCAATTAGTACGCCGGTGTTGACCGGAATGGAGGCTAATGCACTTACCAGTGATAGAATCACTCGTTCTATGGCTCGCGAGGCCCGAGCAGCCGCCGCGCGGGAACCGGGCAGCGCTGAGCGTGCTGACGCGTCGGCAGGCAGTGGGTTTGGGTCCAGGCGCCCTACGGCCCCAAAGGAGGGCGGGAGGGTACCCCTGATCGCGAATCCATCGCCTGCTGAAGCCCCCGCAACGCGACAGCCGAGAGGAAAGCCAAGGAAAGTGGTAGAGGTGGAAGGGAAAGCCACGTCAAGGGCACAGCCTCCCGAAGAGCCCGCTGATCCGGATGACAAACGCCCGGGTCCGGTGCTTCTTGCCTCTGACGACGACACTCCTGCGGGCGAATCAACGGACAGAATGCCCGCGGACCTGGAGACCGAGCTTGAGAAGATGGATGACTCCCTTCTCATAGTGGTTAACTCTGGCTGGCATGGCTTCGACCTTGCAAAGTTCGTTGTTAACAAGTATGAGCAGGACCCTTTCTTCAAGCAAATCTTGGCCACCCCGAAGGCCTTTAAGAACTTTGAGGCGCAAGATGGCTTGATTTACCTCAAGGAAGTCGATCGACGGGTGCTTTGCATCCCGCGGCTTACCTACCATGGTCGTAACCTCCGCGAAATCGTGATTTCCGAGGCTCATTCCATCCTTGCGCATCTCGGAACGCGAAAGACCCTCGACTATCTCAGGGACCATGTCTGGTGGAAAGAGATGGTCGATGACACGCATATAGCTTCTGCGAAACGTGCGCCACCTGCAAACGAAGCAAGCCGAGCAACCAGAAGCCCTACGGACTTCTGCACTCACTTTCGCCGCCAATCGCTCCGTGGGACTCTATTGGCATGGACTTCGTTGGGCCGCTGCCTGAGTCAAAGAACCGTGATGGCACGTTCAACTCCATTACTGTCGTAATCGACTTGCTGACCGGGATGGTTCATCTTATCCCCAGCCGCATCAATTACACGGCACGACAGCTGGCGGAGCTGATGTTCGAAGAGATCTACAAGCTCCATGGACTCCCAAGGTCAATTGTCAGTGACCGGGATGTGCTCTTCACTAGTACGTTCTGGAAGCGGCTTCACGAGCTTATTGGGACAAAACTTCACATGTCGAGCGCTTACCACCCCGAGTCGGATGGGGGCACTGAGCGCGCAAATCGCACCGTTACGCAGATGCTGCGGCAGTGCATTAGTCCAAGCCAACGCGACTGGGTGGCGAAACTCCCTGCTATTGAATTCGCCATGAACTCGGCTCGCTCGGAAAGCACAGGTTATGCGCCGTTCTTTCTGAACACTGGGCGCATGCCGCGCTCGCTTCTGTGGAACTCGGATCGTTCACGACAATACCCTGGCATTGCCTCCTTCGCTCTACAGCGACGACTGGCAGTAATGGCTGCGCATGACTCTATGCTGGCCGCACGGGTCAAGCAAACTCGGTCTGCGAATCGCAAGCGACAGCCTGCACCGTTTGCGCTGGACGATTTGGTATACTTGTCGACAAAGAACCTGAAATTCGAAAAGGGTCTGGCTCGGAAGCTGATCCCAAAGTTCGTTGGACCCTATCGAATCACTCGGGACTTTGGTAATTCCTCGTTTCAGCTGGACTTGCCTTCAAACTTGAAGCAACGAGGGATCCATGATGTATTTCATGCCTCACTTCTTCGGGTTCATATTCCGAACGATGACCGCCGATTTCCTGGTCGCCTGGACTCGCAATTGGGCGTCTCAACAGACACGGCCAGCAACGAGTGGGCAGTGGAACAGATTACCAGCCACTATGGCCGTCGCTCAGAGGCCCTATTCGAGATCCTCTGGAAGTCGGGAGACACGACATGGATGCCGTACTCACAGGCGAGTCATCTGGCTGCGATGAATGAATATCTGGAGGCCCTGGGCTTGACTGACATCGCCCAACTCGGTTACGGCTCTGGTGCACCTCCCGCGGATGACGCGCAGCTCTTCGCTGGTTCGATTTGGATGTCTTCGGGCACTATAACTGGAGCCCTTGGACAGTGCAGGCAACATTTGCTCCACCCCGCTTCGCATAACTCAATGCATACTGGCCGACTCCCCGAAACTCGCGTGCGCAAGCGCTATAGGCGTTTCAACGAGCTATACAACGGTGTTCTTGCGCGCTTGGATCGCCTCACGCTGGCCTTCATTCTGGAAGACGACCGTCGCACCATTCTTGCTGCTGACCTGCTCCAAATCGTTATCAATCGCGCCCATCTCCTCGTGGATGCCTTGCAGAGCAAGGAGTCTGTAGTGGACGTCGATCCAATCGGATATCGAGAGGTTATCGAGCGTCTCAACGCAGTCAGCGCACGAACCAAGATCGGCTTTCCTCGCCTGAGTTCCTCTCAGTTCGGCGTCATCATACCTCCTCCCCCCAACTCTCGCCTCCCAACGCTGGAAGAGTTCCGTGTCCGGCCGGAGGACATCCGTGTCCCTCTCGTCGCTGACGAAAGCGAGCGCCTCCAGCCAGGCTTTGTTCAGGTGAAGGCTAGCGAGCTGATGTCGGTGAGAGCTGCTGTGGAGGACAAACTCACCTACATGGTGCAACGCTCTTTCCCCGATGTTGACGTCCAAGGAAATGGCGTTGTCCGCTCCATGTTCCCATCGCTGTTCGACGCATTCGACGCAGCGCCGGCGCCGGCTCCTTACGACACGCAACGACGCCAGGGTCCGGGCGGGAACAATCCGAGAGGCAGAACCAAACAACGGGCCAAAAACAAGCGCCGCGCAATTCACTCTCCTACTCCCTCATCCCCCGACCGCCTGTCGGACGCGCCTCCAGCTTCCCGCCGTCCCCCACAATGTGTCGGCCAAGCGGCCTCGCTCCGGCTCACCATACACCGCCAGCTCTGCCGCAACCCACTCCCACAAATACACTGGCTATCACGAGCGCGCGTCGGCGGCGCCCCCTTGGGCAGGGTCGAAACCCTTCCTTGCCCAAGCCTTTCTTCCGCTACGACAACATCGGCCCCGCCGCCGGTGTGGCCGGCCCGTCCACTGTCACCCCAGCTGTCACCCCAGCTGCGGCGGCGAAGGCCATCACTGCTGGCTCCACCGTCTCTCTCACGGAAGCTGTGGATGTCTGTGAGGGCATGTCGCCATCAACTCGCCAATATACGGAGAACCTGGAGCTCGAGGGTGCTTCGGTGGATGCTGTCGGCGAACCAGACGCAACTGTGAACCAAGAAATGGACACTTCGGCAGGTTGAGGCCCTCGCGGCGAGGACCTGGAGGGCGTATGTGACGAATATTTATCTCTTTAGACATTTCTTCATTTTACTTTGCGCGGCCCGTGGCCGCGCTTACATCACACTCATTACATAAGCGACATCACAGTATATATACCTTTGATGTAACACTTCGTGTTTTGGTCAATACTATCATCTACGCCTGTCACTTCCCTCGACAATCGACATCGTGTGTCGGGACTAGCAAGACAGCTCCCCGCCACATAGATGTAAGGGTCGTGTGACTGCTTACAGCATGATGACAGAGTAAAATCGCAGCAATGATGGGACAGACTAGCGGACCGGTAGCGGGTGCGACTCCCGCATGTTCCATTTTCATTGGCTGTTGGAATTGTTACATCTGGTGGAACATCAGAGGGTCGAGAGTTCGAACCCCGCACTTAGCAGAGTTTGCTGAGGTCCGATTACCTCATCAGGAGGGCGGATGTAAGGGTCGTGTGACTGCTTACAGCATGATGACAGAGTAAAATCGCAGCAATGATGGGACAGACTAGCGGACCGGTAGCGGGTGCGACTCCCGCATGTTCCATTTTCATTGGCTGTTGGAATTGTTACAATCGCCATGGGCACACGGCCCGATATCGCATTCGCTGTATGCCACCTTGCGCGCTTCCTGGATTGCTACCGGGAGACACACTGGCTTGCTGCCATTCGCGTCGTCAAGTACCTCAAGACCACCCGTTCTCACCGTTTGGAATTGGGGGGTGATGACGTTCGCCTCTCCGGATACTCTGACGCAGACTACGCGAACGAACCCGAAACTCGGAAGTCCGTCATGGGCTACGCGTTCTCCCTCGGCTCGGGCATGATATCTTGGTCATCAAGGAAGCAGAAAGTAGTCGCTGGCTCGTCAATGGAGTCCGAATACGTCTCCTCAGCAGAAGCTGGCAACGAGGCATGCTGGTTACGGAGCTTACTGAGCGGAGTCAACGAGAAACCGACCGGGCCGACTCCCATCCGGGGCGACAACGATGCAGCCAGGAAAATTGCACTCGATCAACGCTTCCACAGCCGCGCGAAAGCTATCGACGTACGCTACAAATTCATCAACGACATAGTCGAGAAGGGCAAGATCTCCCTCCCCCGCGTATCATCGTACAACAACGTTGCCGACACTCTGACAAAGTCGCTGGCCAAGCCCGACTTTGACCGCCACCGTACCTCGCTGGGAGTGATGGAACAACCGGTTGGGGGTGCAAGCATGGGGGGTGGTGTTGGGAAAGCTGCTCATCCGTCGGGGGGTGTGTCAATCCTGCGATCCGCGGCGACGTCAATCGCAGCATAAATAATTATTTGATCCGTTGCACTGCCTCACTGGTTCTTTTCCCGAACCGTGACGGTACGTGCAACGCGACTACGACTGTACTGTAGATACTGACTGCACTGCAGGATAGCGAGAGCTAACTGCGTGCAGGTAATGCACTGGTTCTTTTCCCGAACCGTGACGGATAGCGAGAGCTAACTGCGTGCAGATTCAATACAGACCGCTACCTGGCTGTGCCGTGGGCGTTGTCCGTCCCGACCCGGCTTTCTAACCGCCCGTCCTTGTTTAGCTAGCGCGCTCCCTCAGTGCGATCATGATGGGTACCCCGCGCCGTTTAAAGACGGTATGCCGCGTTCACATACTTGAGGCACTGTTTAGCCACCGTCTGGGCCAGCATTGACGCCTATGTGCGGGGCGGTGGTGGCGGTATCTCTGGCTTTTATAAGCAACGAGGCGGGACGTCCCTACGAGTACGCATCAATATTTCAATAGGATTCAAACACATTAATAGAGGTACTACTTGAGTCATCACTCCCTCTCCCCCTTATAGGGCCCGCTTCACGGAGAATGCATTGGGTGTGAACTTCTTATTCGGGTCCACCATCCTGCGTATCCTTCGCAATCGCTCGTATTTCTGCTGGTCCTCAAAACATGCTCGCAAAACAGAGTCGAGATCGAACGCTCCCCCACCAGTGTTGTTTATAAGACCCAAAATAAGGGTCACTTTTGAATTAAAGGGTCTTAGATACTTATTTACCCTTATTTAGGGTGTCATTCTAAGGGTTTTTTTTAAGGGTTATTTCCCAAAAAAGAAAATTTATTTTCAACTATTTATCTGTTAAAATTATCACCAGAGTTGTCAAGAACACCAGAATCTGGCTCCTCATTGTTATGCTTATCCTGCAGAAGCTCCATTGGACACATTTCCTCTGTTGGTGCAGCCTGATAACGGTTGATATCTGCCTCCATCACACGGGTCACACCAGGTCACACAGGTAGCTAAGGGTAAATAAGGTCTTAGAAGAGTTCCCAGCCCAATGTAAGGCCTTAACTTAGAATGAAAATAACTCTGAATTTCAAGCTAACCCTTATCATTAGAGGCAACACTGTCCCCCACAGAACCCAGGGATTGGTCTTGCTGAATACGCCCTTGGGGCCGATAGTCTCGGCGTCATTGTGCGCAGCCCAGGCCTCGGCGGCCGCTTTCTTCTCGGGCCTGTGGAAATTGTGGAGCGTCATACAAATTGTGGTGTCGCGCCACAGGCTGTTGAAATCGTCAGTGGGTGGTAACTCATTACATGCAGTCTGGCTCACGCTGAACGCCGTCGTGTTGTCTCTGTTGTGGGAGAACATTGAGTGCTCCCCGCCAAAGTGCGGGAACTGGGAGGAGAGCCACTGGCCGTTGTCCACCGGGCCCCATCTGCTCTACCACCCAGTCCACCCAGCCATCCCTCATAAGGCTCGTCGAGTTTGTCACATACATCCGCTTCACGTACAGCAAATCGAACTCCCTCCGGTTGCGGAATATCCACTGTGCTATCAGGTCACTCATCGGCTTCTGCTGCGGGTCGCTCTGGAACCACGAGCCTGAGTCCGTGCGGAGACAGTCGAAGAAGCAAATATCGGGCTGGACCCATTGCGCAGACACAACAATCATGCAAGGCCATGCAGACATGCTGTCGCGCTGCCAGATCTTGGGGTGCTCTTCTGTGATCCTGTTGTTTTCTCCACTGAGCAGCTCAAGCACATCAAACGAAGCGCTAAGTATGCTAATGCAGAGGTCATAGTTCCGCGGGGCTGCTGCGTCATCACTCAGCTCAGCAAGGACCCCAAGAAGAGCACACACTAGGCTGTTTATTTTCATCAGCAAAAATTGCTGCACAAATGATAAAACTTCAAGTTTTTGATCTGATATTTCTCAGGCAAAATTTGCCAAAGAAAAATTAAATTTTGAATTGATTCAAATTTTTTGAAATTTTTCACCTAACTTTTCACTGGGAAAAATTGTGGAAATGGGTTTGGCCTTAATGAGCCACTCCGGCGTTTTCAAAAAAAACAGCCCCTAAAGGAGGACTTATTTGTAACAAATGTAGGTATAAAACAATGGAGCCGATTACCGGAAATTACCTTATTTGGTAATTTGCAAGTCACATCAGGGACTTGGATTTGAGTCCAATCGGGCGACCATTTTTGGCAGCAACTTTCTCACAAATAAATCCTGCTTTGGGGCACTGTTTTTGTGGGAAACCCCAGTGTGAGCGCGGCCTTGACTTCAGGGTGAGTGCTATAAATATAAGAACCAATGTGGAACTACTGTACTATTTCGTTCAATTCTGCGGGCCTGTGACCTGTGACACATGTGGCAGAAATGTGCAATTCAGCCAAGGGGTGAATTTGGTGTGACCTCCTGCCTTATATGGAAGTTCTGCGCGCCATAGGCATGGAAATTTTTAAAAATTACCATTTTGGGACGGTTTAGGGCCAAAGAAACTCGCTGTGACCTGTGACAGGCAGAAAATTTTCGGCCAAAAAAGTCAATGTGACCATGACAGGACTAATTGATTGAAATAGTACAGTATTTTCGATCTGGCACCAATGGAATATTACTAATCATCAATTCCTTTTCCCTGTGTTATTTAATCACTAGTACTATATAAGGAATTATCGGCCTGAAGAAAAGGTGACTCAGCTTCTCATATATTATGTAAGATTATTCATATCTCTTAAATTGACTCTTTAATTCAAGAAGTATATTATGCTTAGGCTGGTGCTCACATCTTTGCAATAGTGTCCTGGGTCTCAGCCCACATCTTTTCCATAGAAAGATACTATACAGGGTGCTCGATAATCGGCCTGGTGCAGCATGAAGTCGAAGTGGGAGAGGTAGAGTGACCAGCAGGCCTGTCTCCGGTTGAGGTGCTGCGTCTTCCTGAAGTACTCCAAATTCTTATGGTCAGTCCAAATCTCGACAGGATCTGCAGCGCCCTCAAGGAAGTGTCTATACTCCTCGAGTGTGCGGATGATCATGAGCATCTCCTTGTCGTGGATTTCGTAGTTGCGCTGGACATCATTTAAGCTTTTGGAATAGAACACTACAGGGCGCCACTTCCCGTCCGGGGCAGATTATGAAAGAACCACCCCCGTCGCATGATCAGAGCTGTCCGCCTCAAGTCGGAAAGGCCGTGCGTCACCCCGAGTCCATTGCTTGCAAGGTCTTAAGTAGAGGAATGCCTGGAATTCTCTTTCCAACCATATATAGATTATCTCAAACGGGTCAAAACTCACCAAGATACAGCTCTATTACTGTTTTAAAAGACTCTGGATTGGGAAAGGGGAAATATATCACATTTTGTGAGTCAAGGATGGACTTGAAGCCAAAGTGTCAACTGGGCAGTCAGGTCCTCAACAGGTCCTGGCATAGACTGGCACCAAAAATATGCACAAGTTAATTTGAGTTAATATAACTTCCACAGTACTGAAGTACTAACAAAAGTTATTAGATTTGTGATCAATTGAAGATGAGTTGAAAATGTGGTCCTATGTTAATCGATCTTTAAACAGTAGTAATGTACTGCTAGACAAAAGAATGCTCAGCACCCAGAGAATAAGAAATGGGTATCCTCAGACAACCCCAGGAACAAATTTTGAAAAAGCGTGAAACCAGGTGTCCACAATTTCGCACTCGAAATTATTTCCTTTTTGGGAAATTTCATTAGCCCTCCACAACTCTCAGTTCTTATTCTCCTGCTTCTCATCTTTTTGAAATCTCCGGGTCAATATCTTTCACTCATACAGTTCAGCTTTCCCACAACTGAAATTACTTTTTGGCAGGGCAGTAAATAACTGCCACATACAAAATTGATTCAATGATCAGCGCAAGATTCAAAGTCGACTACAGTCACGCGCGTGACTCTCTCTCTCTGTACCACCACCATCTATGGCGACATAAGCTCCTACCCGCCTCTCCGCGCCTCTCAGGACTACTAGGTGGCAATAACTCACAACTGGGAACTCAGAGGGCTCCCAGGCCTTGCTTTCAGCCCGGAACAAGACTCTAGGCAACAACTCACTCCTGGGACTTCTGGGGCGGAATTTCGGGAAAGCGCCAGTCTGCGCAGCCTCAGACAGTCAGTCCTATGAGGCCCAAAGCCGAGGCAGCTGTTCATGGCCCAAATTCACACCTCGCGCGATCGCGGCCGCGGATCCACGCGGAAACGCATTCGAGAAGGGCCGCCGATGTTCTCTTCAATATTCTGGACGTTTGGAGGCGATCCAACGGCCGCGCCGAGTGTGGCCGTAAACCGCCCGTTTCGCGCCAAACAGGCCCTCGGCCACATCCAGCCATCTCGAGGAAGATGGAGGGGACTTGTCCCCTCATGTTGAGCGCTTTTTAAGGCCTATCGACGGGCTGCATCCGCCAGACTCGGACTTGGCCGTGTGTTCCCGAGACTCGCCAGCGCTGGGTGCGTTTCTGGCGCGTTGCGCCTGGCATCCCGCCATCTGCATTCCCGCCTCCGCCATCGTATGCGCCACTTCTGCCCATTCTGGGCTCAAATCTAGCAAGAACTCGCCGTTGCGCGCGATGGCGACCACAGATCGACGCGAAAATTCAAAATGGGCTCGAGACGAGCGGCCGACGTCCTCGTCACGAAACTGGACCTTTGTGGCGATCTACCGGCTGGATGCTGGCCGGCAACGCGCCCGGGTTTGCCCGAAAATCGCCCGTTTCGCCCCGAACAGGCCCTCGGCCACGTGGAGGAAGACGTAGGGGACTCATCCCAATACGCTGGACGCGTCGCAGGCGTCTGCGGCGCGCCGCATCCACCATTATCGGCCAAGACTCGTGCTCCCGTTTCGGCCGGGATTGGCGCCGGTGTTCCTCGGGCATGTCCGGGGAGGCTCGAAGACCATGTCCCAACTAGTTCGGCGCGTCTCGGCGCTTGTCGGCGGGCCGCATCGACCATCGTCGCTGTTGGCGGCGTTGTGGGCAAGACGGGTAAGCGCTGGGCTGAGTTCGTGCTCGTTCCGGCTGAAAGCTTAACCACAGGCAGCGCCATTGTGGTGCACTCCGAGTCCTTCGTCGAGCGCACACTGCGATAATGGTACGCGCGCTTCGGAAACTTCCTGTACCAAACGTACAAGGACGCATGCTTCTTCGGGATCTCCATGGGGCTGCTGATCATGCCCTTCGGCACCGGGAAACACGCCTATCTAGTAAGTGCCTCTTCCTTTTGAATATGAAGCTGGTAATGATATCATTAGGGCCGTTTTTTCGCTGCGACCGAGCTGAAAGTAATGCTGGCGCATCAGGTGCTTACCTACGACATTAAGGCCGTCGTCGACGGCGTGCGGCAGCCCGACAATGTCTTCGGGATCCGCACAAGTCCGAACCCCCGAGGACAGGTGTGGGTGCCCAAAAAGTGGATTGATCGTGCACCTTTCAGGGAACATGTGTTGCGAATTGCAAGGGAAGTACACCTATGTACTGAACAGTGAATTTGAGCCGACTCTCCGAGATAGCTTCTATGGAAATGGATACTCGCTGGAAACCTGAATGCGTATGTGTCCCATAAGTAGCCGCCCATCTGACGGCAGTCCGGATCGTGGAAAAAGACCGGGGAAACAACTTGCTTGTTCACTTCGAGACCGGGCTGATCTTTGTTGGCAAGGCTTTGCATCACACGGACATGCAGCGTGAATAAGATGCGCAATTCATTGAAGGTATGCATAATGGTCGGAACTTTTGTGCCCCGGACGGTGATCTTCACAAACACCTACAAGAAGCCTCTTGGGGTATCAAGCAATGGGATGGAAGCATATGCTCGTCGAGTCGGAGACCATAGCCTACCCTATATAAGTGGAGGGTATTCTCGGTGACTACTTCGATGCAGTTCCTCTCACCGGCCCTCCTTCTTGTGCTCGCTCAGCCGGCGCTAAGCCACTACCTTGTGTACCTCGGGACCAACGTGGGGGGTTACGTCGGCAACACGCTCAATCCGGCGGGCGGCTTCAACACAGTCTCGCTCAACCCGACCAACGAGAACATCCCGCTCCGCATCCACGTCCACAGCGACACGCCCGACGCCGCCAACGCGACGCCACAGCGCTTCGCAATCGAGGTTGGTCCTAAGTCGAGGAAGCGCTGGAATGGATTCACTCAGGCTGTTGACAGGACACCACTCTAAACGCGAGCACGCACCCGTTCATCGGCGGGATCGGGGGCTCCATCAACACTCCTGGATCGTACGCCCTTATTAAGCTGCTCGCCGCCCTCTATAATTATCCGTTGTAGCTCCATACCCCTCGGTGGCACGGGTCCGACCACGATCGGAGCCAAGCCGTCCAGCGGGCCCAACACTCTCACCGACGCGACAGGGAAGGCCAGTCTTTCGGCCAGCGCGATTGTTGGTTTGTTTATGTGCTCCACCACATACCCGCTGACGACCTGTGATAGTGGACCATCGACCCAAGCGTCGGGCTCGGTCGTTTGGTTCCCAAGTGGGTGAACGAAGACGGTACGACGACAGCTGCGAGTGTGGGGCTCTATCAGGACTCATTTGTCTTGGTTGGAGACAAGACGGCATTCCAGTCGGCGCATCAGGGAGTGCAATGGGTGGTAAGCTTCTCCGCAGACTAGGTAAAGGCATGAGCGTTGACTGATAATGCATAGAATCTCACCTTGATCGAGTAATTGGTAGTTTTCATCCGTGTTGCGCTAGATATTTGGCAATTGAATCAACTTGGGACTTGTGGCTGGGCTGCTTTCCATCGACCCATTGGAATATTGCACAAGTTAGATCCTGATTTACGCATTTTGGAAGGGGGGACAAGAGAAGGTGGCTCAGGACAACGTCGGAGCTTTGGTCGTGGGAGCTCTGAGCGAAGGCACTCGCAAGATGGCGTCAAATGGCGCGAGAACAACCCAAGAGATGGTGGTTAGGGTCGGACGGGAGACCCTTTGCGAAAGAACAGGGATGTGGAGGGAGCATAGATTCATCGTATGTGTTGCTGTTGTACACCATTTTACACGGCTAGTCTGTCTTTTCCCGCCTCGCTATGCTTAAGCTCCAACTCCGATGGCACGAAGGTAGCCCACACGATGGTTGTTGACATCCGTCGCAGCGCTACGCGCATGGGGAATCCACTTCGGCTCGTCTTGGAAGAGCCGCAGGGCCTTGATGTTGTCCCGTTCGTCGAGGGTGAAGCGGTGGTAGATGCCAGCGGGCAGGATAAGAAAGTCTCCGGGCTCGGCGGCCACGCGAATCCAAGCGTCTGACGGTGTTTCTGTGAAGCATTGTCAGCGGAGTAAGGGAGCGAAAATGCTACAGCGACGCACCGCGGACATCAAAGAAGCCGCTCCCACTCAGTATGTAGCGGATTTCCTCGTCTTCGTGCATGTGTCTGGCGGTAGGAAAGCTCTGGTCAGCGACAGTCAAAGCAATGAGAAGGTCGCCACGCACTCTTGGAAGAAGCCCTTGATCTTCGCCTCGTAGACCTCGCCCATGCCCTCCCTCGACACGTCAATAGTGTCACTGTTCTTGTACCCCCTCTCCCGCGCAATCCCATCGAGCTTCTCTTCGTAGCCGGCCACGGGTATCTGCCACGTCAGCACGCCCATCTGCGCCAGGGTGTCGGGGGCCACGGGACGGCTGGGGACGGGCTCGTGCGCGAGCCGCTGGTCGCCAGGGACGTTGTCGAAGTAGTATGCCCGCATGGGAGGTGGCGGAGAAAAGAGAAGGAGCGATTTCCTTTTTGGGACGACTCTTTTTTCTGATCCCGCCACCATGGGTACACTTCCAGGTCATGTCAGCCACTTCAGATACCCTCAAGATCTTATATGGCTTCACGGATGACGATACTACCGTCTTCGCGACCTTGTTTTCAATGGCTGGCAAGTACTTATACTCTGATTTGGACAAGCTGACAAAAACATCGACGCCTGAGGTCTGTCCATTCGGGGGTTTCGGGGTTATATCTAACACCTATCAAACGACACATTCATCTCGACTCCACCATCTGCACAGGTATCTCAGTGGCTCTCGCAACCGTATGTCGCCGATTCATTTCCGGTGAGATGGCGGCTTATTCGACAGATTCCGTGCCTACTTCCTGTTCAATGACTGCATCCAACGAGTCCTCTCTATATCCGTATTCGCAACGCATCTAGGATCCGCCGGCCCTCCTGGGAAACCACATCGACCGGCTGGGCGTGGGGTTCTAACGCCACTGTTGCCCGTGGCGTTGCATTCAAATTCTCTACCGAGCTTTCAAGTTCCATCTGTCCTGTTGCCTCCCCATCGAAAATGATCGACGAGGGTAGTTGCGGCGCGGCAACGGGCTCATCCCGTCTGTACCCGTTTATTTGTTGGCTCCACCTATGGCCGAGCGGGCGGCTTGAATATGGCGTGGGCGGCGTCCGCGGTTCAGATCGCGCGTCAGGAGGAATTTCTGCGGTTCTACTCTTCGAGAAAACTCCCTCCGGAGCGCGAATGTCCGCGAATACATCGTAGTCCTCAAGAACTGGCAGCTGGCTGCGGTCCATCCACTGGAGTACATTTCGGTGAGCATAGCCAGCACTCAGTGAAGCGACTTACGCGGGTGTAGGCGACCAGATGCCATTTACACGACCGTCGCCCCTGCTGCTTTACCACCTGGAAGCTGTACGTCTGTTTTGTGAGGCCGTCCGACTTTCCTGGCCGTTTATTCCGCGGAGGAGGAGCAAGATTCAGGCTAGGATTGACCACTCTCTGTGCTCTGCAACGGTAGATCGTCAGCGAGGAAATGGTCATGGCAGGACACGCTTTACCGTCGAAGCGCCTTCGCGTCCTTCTCTGCATCTGTCATCTCGATCTTCTCCTGGTAGAACAATGAATCGCCGACGACTCTGCTCTGGGACCTGCACTGGCTGAGCTTCTCTGCATTCCCAGTCACATGCTGGCTACATACCAACGTCGGCCATCGGTCCACCGCACCAGACCCCCGTCTTCATCAGACTCCTCCCAGACGAAGACATTACCGGCTTGCAGCTCGTCGCGTTCGCTCCCGCTTAGGCGTACGGTTATAAGGCGCAGTAGCCTGCGACGGACGGCCTCGAGCACGACCAGCGCGTCAGCCATATTGCGGATGTCTGCATAGGGATACTAGTAAGACGACTTGTCATGAGCGGAGAACAAAATTGACAACTCACGGAGTCTCGGGTGGGTAACGTTTGCCCTAGTATATGGCGCTGACCCAATCGGTAGGGATGGCGGTAGGGCTATCCGGGGCAGGATATGTCGCGCAGTAATGTCGGGGTTGAGCCTGAAGCTATGGCCATCGACATTCATTTCGTGCTGGCGCTCGCACGAAGAGCCTGACCCAAAGCTATCTCCGCACCTGCCTGTTATATTCCCCATGGATGAAAAGGCGATACGGCATCCGAGCCCTCTAACCCTTCTTTCAGCCACACTATTCGCGGTATCTCGTGATTCCTGTAAGACGGCGGTCTATACGAGCGTGATTTGCTGCTGGCACGCGTGCAGTTGCACCGCTTCCACAACTCGTCCGAAATCGCCTAGGTCAGCCTGTCTTTCAACAGCGCTCGCCCTCCAGAGTCCATTTCCATTTCCTCTGTCGCAACCTCCGCGCCTTCTTTTGTGGCACAACAACACACCGTTACACACGCTCCATTCTAATCTCTCCGTGTGTGCTGTCAACGCCCGCAGATGTCGGCCCACATCCCTTGTGCTTCTCGATTGCCGCCGGCGTCAATAGCCTTTATCGCACAGCTACGCCCCCACGGTGCTTATATGCCTATTTGCAGATCAAATCCAAACGGCGACTCCATTCGCGAAGAGCCCGTTATCGCAGCCATGCATGACAGAAAGCCCCCGGGACGTTGACTTCGATATCAATTCAGGGTCGATGTCGCCTGCACGACGAAGGTTACTTATCTACTATTCCTGGAGCATTATAAATACCCCGCAGGAACGTACTGTCGCCGGTGGGCTTTGACTCACGGAGAATGGAAAAAGAGTCGCCAAACGCGCGTCAAACGCCGAGCTGTTGCCGCGGAATTTCCCTCACGGGCCCCGCTCAGATACAGAACATGATCGGAACAGCTCTGCGAAGCGCTCGTCGACACGCAGTGACTCACCGTGACTGTCCTTTGCGAAAGCTATCATTCGCCAGTCCCAGGAACTCGATATCGCCGTGAGTATGCGCCGGCCACCATGGACAGTTTTGAACTGAAGTTTGTCAACCCCTTCGCGGACTTTCAATTCTAAGTCTTAAAATAGCAAAGTATTTAGAGTGCTGGATGCAGGTTTAATTTAACGAGTGCACAGAAACAGAGAGCTAAAAGTTATGATGTAAGATAGTTATTGTTATTAAATTCTGACTATTCTTGCAATACTACAATTATCGATCGATGATCAAAAATATATGGAAACATTCATCTAATATGTTATTATGATCTTAGCGCCAACATTAGCTTGTGGGCTCAACAAGCTATAAGAATATATATATATATATACATTATATTTGTCTTTTACATTTATTGTTATTATCATTGTTATCAAGCAACCTGGTATAACTTTTATTTTCTTTTATTTCATAAATAAAATAAAAAGGGGTTAAAACCCCTTTTTATAGTTTGTCAAACAGAAATTGTTGGAGCCTGAAGTATGTGATCCTGCTGATTTGTAGTCCCATGTTGCAAATGATGTATAAATATCTCATATAGAAAGGCACTAATAATTTGACTATTCTTACATTATGATCAGGGCTGGTGCATGTAACTGCATACTCACTTCCCTTATTGCAACATACTGTACTAATCCGACCTTAAGTTCAGTGATTTTGAATTTTTTGACCTCCGAGATGGCTGAAAATTTTTTCTTTTGAATTTAGCTGAATGTTAACGATGAGTTTCTTTAGCTATGTAACACGTAACATGAACTTAGGGTCAGATTAGTACAGTATCTGGACTGTCTGGACATGTTTTTTGGCTTGATAAAGCCACAGGACAATATGCCGATTAACACAAGCTTATTGATATCCTCAACAATTATCTCTAGTTGCTGCCTTTGTGGAAATCACAGCTTAAATTGGTGAATACTATATCAATTTATTCGATTTGGCAGTCACAGGTTACACAGGTCACACAGGTCACACTAGACCTCCAGCACCAAAATATTACAGTACGTCACAACTTATCATTTAAATGCCAAATGTTAGACAGTCATTGAAGCATCAAAAATTTAGGCAGCACCAAAATTTCAATTTTGGCTACCACTTCCTGACACCAAATTGAATAAACTGATACAGTAAATGCAGGACACTGGGGGCAATTACCGCGGCTGACAGGCTATGGCATGTCATGAGGCAAACATGCAGCGGACTGACGGCGGTCTGGTGGCAGTCAGGGAATTGTTAAAGATTTGAAAGAACAGCCGGCGATATAGTTGAATACCTGGCGCGCAAGCACCTCAGGCCTACTGCAGCTCTCACCCTGGCCATTGCATTCTGTGCACTCACAGTGTAGACATGGCCTTCGCGACAGCCTTGGCGACAGCCCACGATCGGAAGCCGGCGATCCCACCCGCGGCCCGCGCCCCTGCTCCGGCACCTCCAGCTCCCGTCCCTATGGAGTTGGACCGCACCAGGGCTCGGGGTGCCCCTCGTCATGCCTGCTTCAGGTGTGCCGACCCAAACCATCTCGCCCGGGATTGCCCCCTCCCCGCCGATGTCCGGTCGATGGACATCCTCGACGAGGTGATCCAACAACTCGGTGACGAGATGTTAGCAGAGTTGATCGCCTGCTACACGGACACAGCTGCCCTGCCGGAGACGGCAGCGGAGTCGATGGCTGGAGAGGATTTTGTCCCCGCGACGAGTGACTGGTGTGCCCTCTGTTCGCGTCTATCAATCGTTTTGCCTCTTTGTATGATGAATGCAGTTCCTTGCCCTACAATGAGCCCGAAATGGAAGACACACCCTCTCCTGCCCCCACCTCGACTCCGACTCCGTCTCCGACTCCGCCCGCAACTCCGGTCATCGTCCTTCGCTGCCTCACTGCCTGGGAAAAGAAACTGCCCAAGCAGTACACTGTTGCCGCTGCCCCTGGGGCAAACTCCCTCCACCTCCCGTTGGAGCTAGAGTCCACCACCAGTGCGTTGAAGCTCTTGCTCTCTGGGCTTGTCGACTGTGGTGCCACCTCTGACTTCATTGACACGAACTATGTCGCCGGAATGGCATTCCGGTCCGCACTCTTGATCAGCCGATCCCGGTCTTCAATGTTGATGGCACCCCTAATGATGCCGGCTCCATCAAACAGATCGCAGACTTGGTCCTGCGCTAGAGAGGCCATGCCGAACGAGCTCAACTGGCCGTCCCCCATCTTGGCAAGCAAGACCTCATCCTGGGGTACTCCTGGTTGCGGAAACACAACCCAGAGATCAATTGGGAAACCAAGGAGGTCAAGATGACACGGTGTCCCCGCAATTGCTCGACCTGCCGTGAGGAAGAGCGTCGAGCGGACTGAGCTGTGTAAGGGCAACCTCGCGAGGCTCGAAATCAGAGTCCTGAGCAGAGGGGGAATCCTTAGTGAACTACTACAACAGGAAGGGACGCTACAGACTCACCTGAGCAGAGGGGGAATCCTTAGAGAACAAGCCAAGGAGCCCTCTGCCCAGGTGCACTACTATATACCAGTGACCGGAGTAATGATAGAGT